ACTCTGTGCTACCAGTGCCAGACATGGTCACTCACAACAAACCATAAAGGGCTGTAGAAGTGACCATAAGAGATAAGATCAGGAATGAGATCATAAGAGAACAAGTCGGCACAGAGCCAATTCTGGATTACATACAAAGACAGCAAGTGAAATGGTTTGCCCACTTAGAGAGAATGCCTTGTGACACCATACCATACAAAGCATACATGGAAAGAGAAGAAGGACGTAGAGCACGGGGTAGACCAAGAACAAGATGGAAGGATAACATCAGAGAAACTCTACAACAGCACGATGTGCCTATGGTCGAGGCAGCCAGAAGAGCTAGAAACAGAACCTTATATCTCCCTCGACACCCACAGCGGTGAAAAGAGGAAGTGAAGAAGAAGAAGAGATTTTTTCTACGTGTGCAGCAATGTACACGGAGGTCCATTCTCACTACCCAGAAACCAGGATGAATTACTAGAAGTCCAAGTCCACGTGAAAAAAAACACCTAGCCCTTACTGGGGATTGAACCCATAACATCTAGCACTCGAGGTGGACACCATGCCTCGAGACCACGCAGCTCCCTAGCTACTGTATGATAAAGGGAGGGTGGTTAAGGCTTTATGGGATTACATAAAAAGGGATTATTAATTAAAGTCTATACACTGAAAGATTAATTCGACGGAGAAAAAAGTGTAGATTCTGGAAGATATTAAACAGTTACGTTGAATTGAGTCAAAACTGACATCACAGCACTAGGGGCATTCCCATGCATGCTCCGTCCTCATCTTCAGCAGCCATCGCAGAGTTCCAATACTAGTGATACCGGTCACAATCTGGTTATATGTCCGTCTTGCCTTACCTCTGAATGTCTTGAGCCAGCCAGACCCCCTGATTACATCCAGGTCCCTCATTCTCTCTAGGACATTTTAATCTTATCTCGCTACTGATTCCGTTGGTCCTAAACTAAAGGGCCTTGACCACATCTGCCTTGTCATGTATCAATTAAACACCCAGTGGAGCAGATCCAACCAATCTGTCTGCCTGTTTATTACCCACCACGCCAGCATTTCCTGAAGAAAAGATCCAAAGTGACTACCGGTGACATTTCCAGTGAAGTAAGGCCACTCTGCTCGAAGCATCTCTGTCTTCACCTTTCTCAGCATGCTTTCAGAGTCTGTTACAATTACGACATGTGTATGCATCTTGTTCTCTAGCCACCGGAGAGCTGCAGTTACCGCCTTCACCTCCATTCTCATGCTAGATGTTGTGGTGTCATATGCTAGGCTGTCTTGCACTAAAGATTTTCAATTGGCTTTCGCTACGAACCCCTAAGCACTTCTCTTTCCTCTCAACACCGAACCATCTGGACGCCTTCGATATTAAACATTGAAGAGGAAACAGAGGCAGACTTTTAATCAGGTTGCTACTGGTACTATTAGCATAACAGCTCTTCATTGGTTACCGAAGAGGGGGACGGAGCAGGTGTGGGAACGTTCTAAATGCAGTGATGTCAATTCTTCATTCATTCTCAACATTGGCACAATGAATGTATGGTTAAAAAAAACTATTCATTTTATTAGTACAACACAACAGACATCTGGTAAAATAATGTTAAAGTCTTTACTTTTGTTATTTTTTTAAAAATATACTAATATATACTTTCACATCATTGGTACAAAAGACGACTTGTGAAGTAAAGTTATTTTTTTTTCCACACCACTTGAACAATGTATGCATAATAAAACAAATAAATCTCTTTCATTTTTATTAGTACAACACAACAGACATCTGGTAAAATAATGTTAAAGTCTTTACTTTTGTTATTTTTTTTAAATAAACTTATATATATACTTTTACATCATTGGTACAAAAGACGTCTAGTGAATTAAAGGTTTTTTCCCATACCACTTGTACAATGAATGCATAATAAAACAAATAAATCTCTTTTCTAAAAGATTGGTAGTTTGGACGTATGGTGAAATGTAGTAAACAGCTCTTTCTGAAGCATGTTAAGCACGTTTGTACAGACCAGCTGTCCAGACCAAATCTATCTATCATCTATTTATCTATCTGTCGGTTGGTTGGTCAGTCGGAGTAGGTCAGCCGCCCAGCCCATCCATCCATCCAGCCAGCTATCTGTCCATCCGTCCGTCTGTCTGTCTAGATAGATAGAAAAAAGAAAGAAATCATTTTGCCTGCCTGCCTATTGTCCAGGACTCACAGCCATTTGGTAAAACTGGATGTAGCAAGCAAGAATTCTTTTTCTAACACTCAATGACAAAGATGTATTGCATAAGATATTCTTCATTTTATAAAATGCAGTTTTTGCTTGTCCTATTCTGTTTCTTATCTCAGTAATGCATCTTCCATCTGATGTTATACATATGCCCAGATCTATCTATCTATCTTCTTTTACCCCACCAGGACATCACACAAGCGATAAACACATCCGGATGAGGATCACCCATGAAGAGGTCCCAGAAACCGCATTCAGCCATTATACCATATTTTTGGCCGGGCTTTATTGCAGCCCCTGGCAAGAGCCACAGTAGGGCTTCAAAAATTAAAAATTGCACCCCACAAGGGGATGACAGGATATATGCCCAGATACTTAAATTTCTGTACTTGTCCCAAAATAACACCATTTACTTATATGAATAGGATAAATACACGGGTTAAATTTTCAGTTCCTATTATGGCTACAATGTTCAGTACAACAGTTAATTGGCACTTAGGTTATTGTGCATTTCTTTTATTCGCTGTAGTTATATACTTTTAAAGTTTTTTTCCCACTTACATCCTTTGCATTTTTTGTGTGTGTTGAATTATGTATTTTTTTTAAAAAAAATCTCTTGGAACTAGACTGTAAGATAGGGGCATTATTGGAGATTGCTGCCTTATTGGTCATCTCTTTTAGAACTAGACTGTAAGATAGGGGCATTATTGGAGATTGCTGCCTTATTGGTCATCTCTCTTAGAACTAGACTGTAAGATAGGAATGTTATTGGAGATTGCTGCCTTATTGGTCATCTCTCTTAAAACTAGACTGTAAGATAGGGGCATTATTGGAGATTGTTGCCTTATTGGTCATCTCTCTTAAAACTAGACTGTAAGATAGGGACATTATTGGAGATTGCTGCCTTATTGGTCATCTCTCTTAGAACTAGACTGTAAGATAGGGGCATTATTGGAGATTGCTGCCTTATTGGTCATCTCCCTTAAAACTAGACTGTAAGATAGGGGCATTATTGGAGATTGCTGCCTTATTGATCATCTCTCTTAGAACTAGACTGTAAGATAGGGGCATTATTGGAGATTGCTGCCTTATTGGTCATCTCTCTTAGAACTAGACTGTAAGATAGGAATGTTATTGGAGATTGTTGCCTTAATGGTCAGATTGTGTGTGTGTGTGTGGGGGGGGGGGGGGGGGGAGGAGGGGAAGGGAGTGGGGGGAACTCCAACATGCCCACTTTTAATCCTCTGATTTACTTCCTCGTCCCTCCAAACGGGCACTACTATGTGACTATGGGAAGAACTGGTCTAGAATACTCCTACCACTTCATTTCAGACCGTGACTCAGAGGCCACCTCACATACCCTGTAAAAATTCATTTCCTATAGAATCGCCAGACATGCACTGAAATTGGGACACTTGAAGTGTTTAGGAAACAAGGGCATGCAAGAGATACTTAAAGTTGGAAGGTGATGTTGTGCTTGCTGCTCTGTGAAGTTTCTTCTACACATACAGCAGCAGTGGAGATCATGATGAGAATAACACTTTCTTTTACTATCCCAGGCAAAGCCGCGCAATTAAATCAAGTCGTCCATAATAATAAGTTAGTAGCAATATGCCCAGTTCATCTACTACATTTCCCCAGTGTGCGTTCCGGGGCCGTATTATAGGGAAAACAAGAGTAGACCCACTGCCTACCCTAAAGCATGTCGTAAGAGTCTAGTAATTGGGAGCTTCCTTCAAAGTCGCAGTGCATCTGCCTGAGAGGCAAGGAACCAGCAGTCTGCATACAAATGAGTCAGATCTGTAAAATGGATACACACGCAACACTCAGGTTCTGGAACAGGACTGCAGTCCAGAAGTGGACGAACAACCAGAACTTTCCGCTAGAGATTACAGCTAGTGAAGAAGAAGATCGGTTCTCTTAAAAACTAAGGCCACTTATTATGGAGTACGCCAGAGTTCAGTCCCCTGGCCGCATTGCAATTACGGAGTGGAAAAGAGGGAAGGAAATAAATGAAGTAATTACTGTGTGTTGGCGATAGACAGTGTGAACCGATGACGTAATTACTGTGTGTTGGCGATAGATGCACTGCTGTCATAATAGGGTTAGGGTTCGGTTTGGGTTTGGGTTAGGGTTAGGGTATATTGGTACTCCTTAAAACTACAGCCACTCCTAACCCTACCCCTAACCCTATCCCTATTATGACAGCAGTGCATCTATCGCCAACACACAGTAAGCACATAATTTGTTTCGTTCCCTTCTGTCCACTCTGTAATTGCAATGCAGCCAGGGGACTGAACTCCGGCGTACTCTATAATAAGTGGCCGTAGTTTTAAGGAGAACCAGAAGATCTACTCCATGCAGGGAGACCTTTTATTTGCATAGATCAAAAGGCAGTCACCTGCTGTTATTATCAAACCAACATCTCCTTGTATGATGCAATTTTTTGTTATTTGAAGCCCCACCGTGGCTTTAGCTGGGGGCCCTAAATATAGCTGGGCCACACATGTGGCCATAACAGCTGAAAGGGATTTCTGGGACTCTCCGCGGGTGATCCTTATCCGCATGGTGGCACTTTGTGTGACTGGGTGTTATCACTTGTGTGATGTCCTGGTGGGGTACAACAAGCAAGCAAGCAAGCAACTTGCTATGAACTAAAGTTTTCTAGCTTGATGTCAGATCAAAAATGGTGGACGGTATCTTTTTTAAATGTCACTGTAAAACACATCTGTCCCCCCCCCCCCCCCCAACCCCCCACCCCCACACACAAAAATATAATCATACTTTATTCTTCACAAAAGATAAGTTAGCATAATATGAAGTGTCAAATGTTTTCACTCCCAGATATTCATCCCTTGTGTCATTAAAAATCTTCTCCTCCAAGCAGCCGATGACAACTCTGTCCTCTGACAGGTAAAACTTGTTGGCAAAGTAATGTTTGACTTTCCCCAGTAGTGGCAGGTCTCCTGTGAAAGGGAAAAATAAGAGTTAGAAAGCTGGAAATATCCAGTAGAAAAAAAACACACAACAAAAATGAAAACAACCATACATTAATGACATGTAACAAGCAACAGATGATGCCACTGCTGCTGTTTCATCTTCTTCTTTGTATTGTTCTTCATCTTTCTTTTTGTCTTCATCTTCTTCATCCTTCTTTTTCGTTTTTTCTTCTTTTTTTTGTCCTCTTATTTTTTTTCTTCTTCTTCTTCTTCTTCTTCTTCTTCTTCTTCTTCTTCTTCTACTTCTCCTTCTTCTTCTTCTTCTTCTTCTTCTTCTTCTTCTTCTTGTTTTTTCCCCCTTTCTTTTTTGTCTTCTTTTTCTTCTACCTAGCTGTCTTCTTTTTAACTTTTTTTAAAAATCATTATCTTCTTCTTTGACTTGCTCTTTTTTTTTAATTTCATCTTCTCTTTCTTCTCCTCCTTCTTTTGTTCTTCTACTTTGACTTATTTCTCTTCTTCTTCTTCTTCTTCTTTTTCTTTTTCTTCTTCTTCTTCTTCTTCTAAAAATTATCCTGAATATATGTCGAAATAGTGACAATAAATGTAACTCATTCAGTATCACATAAACTAAATATGTTTTTGTTGTTTCTCCTTACATGTTATATTTCTTTAGCTTCTGATATCTCATCCAGTAGTTACAATAACAAACACCATGGCCCAACTGTTAGTTACACCATTCTGTCTTACATTGTTATTTTAACTGCTTGAGGTTCAAAAATATATATGTGTAACAACTTTTTAGCTTTAAAAAGTCTATAAATAAAGCCTGACAAGACTGACAGAGTTAAAACTGACATTTCTATAGCCTTCCCCTCCTCCCACCACATCCAAATATTTCTGGTATAAATCCTCTTCTTCTTTGTATTTACCAGCTCTAAACTCCGGCGAAAAGTTCTGGTTGTTCGTCCACTTCTGGACTGCGGTCCTGTTCCAGCACCTGAGTGTTGCGTGTGCATCCATTTTACAAAATCTGACTCATTAGTGTGCAGACTGCTAGTTCCTTGCCTCTCAGGCAGATGCACTCTGATTTCGAAGGAAGCTTCCAATTAGTTGACTCTTACGACATGCTTTTGGGTAGGCTGTGGGTCTATTCTTGTTTTCCCTATAACAGGGCCCCGGAACCCACACGGGGATGGCATAAACCAAAATAAATTTCTGCAAAGCATATGTTGGAGTCACTTGCAGTAAGTCTAACTGTGATTTTACAAATTTCAGTTATGTCAACTAATATCTCATAGATTTACTTATTGAGCAAGTGATATTTTATCACGTTATGTTTTGAATCTGACGACTGCTGCTTTGTGGAGTTGTCAGTCATCTTTCTGGTGGCCTATGTGCTCTGATTTCTGCTTGGTTCTTATAAATGTCCTGTTTTCATCCATGGCAGTCTGTTTCTGGAAACTACGATTGTCTTCCAAGTTCCTTGTCTGTTTCTGGCTAAGATTGTCTTCCAAGTTCCCAGTTTGTTTCTGGCTAAGATTGTCTTCCAAATTTCCAGTTTGTTTCTGGCTACAGTTGTTTTCCAAGTTTCCTGTCTGTTTCTATCTAAGATTGTCTTCCAACTTCCCTGTCTGTTTCTGGCTAAGATTGTCTTCCAACTTCTGGCTAAGATTGTCTTCCAAGTTCCCTGTCTGTTTCTGGCTAAGATTGTTTTACAAGTTCACTGTCTGTTTCTGGCTAAGATTGTCTTCCAAATTCACTGTCTGTTTCTGGCTAAGATCGTCTTCCAAGTTTCCTATTTGGAATCAAGGGTCTCATTTATAGTGGAGGAGCAGGATAAGAAAAGACATGTCATAACAGGCATGGCCTAAAGGGCGATTAATTGAAAGTTTTTATTGGCAATAGAGGTATTTGGCCAGATATCACAGCTATGCTGTAAAACAGAAACAGATGTGCCAACTACCCTTTTAAGAGCGTACAAGAAGAAAGAAGCCCGGCTTCCAAGGCTTAGGCACTGAGAGTCCGACTTGTAATTCCAACAAACTGCAATTGAAACCCATCGCTCACTGTATGCATTTTTATTATGGTATGGGGCATCGCAGGTCGACCCAGCCTAAAATTGGTACCTGGATGTATGTCCTGGGAAAGTAAAGATGACCGTTGTAACCCTGACCACATTACCCACCTAATGCCGATTGGTCTGTAAAAATATGGGTGCTCTACACAAACGCCTGATGAGCCTAAAGGCGTAAAAAGGGATCTTTTACATAGAAGGAAAAGACATTTTTGAAGTTTCAATGGCTTTCGCACAAGATTATTCATGTGATACAAAATAATTGTTATCACTGACAATATACAGTATATAATATATAGTATATATAAAATGTTGTTTGAAATGTATTATGAAAACCTATCATAGTTTATCTCCAAATGGGATGCAATGTTTTGTTATTTTGAAGCCCCACCCTGGCATTGGTCAGGGGTACTAATTCTAACCCTATGGGTTGAACTGGGTTTCAGGGACATGTCTTTGGGTGATCCTCATTTGAATGGTGGCACTTTGTGTCATCGGGTGTTTGTCACTCAGTGTGATGTCCTGGCAGGATAAAACCTCAGTCAGTATTACAAAAACCAGTATGACATGCAATATTAAATTATTATGAAAAGCAATATGTATTATCAGAATAAAAAGATTACATCTGATTCTAATATATATTTTTATCTAACATACAAATGACAAACTTTCAATTAAAACAAGTAAAAAGAAAGAATTACCTAATGTAAGAATACATATTGATCGAACGTATTGCCCACCAGAACATTTGTATGAACCCCAGTTTTTGAAACGTGTGAGAAAAGGCTTCCCATCTTCATCGGTTTCAGGCACACCTGGATGTAACCAAAGGATAAAAGTTATTCTTTAATGAAAAGTACAGTTAGTTGCGTACCCTTCAGAAGACATTATAGATCCAACACCAGCATTTTTTTTGGCTACGTTCAGTAGTTTGCTACTGCTTCAGAACGGTCAGCTCTCGGTACCACTGTTGAAACCAACACAAGTCAAAGTCTGCAGCTGAGATTGAACCTGGCACCCTGGCCTTGCAAAACGTGTTTGTAACGTCTAAGCCCCAGATGCTGACTCATTCATGAAAACTAAGATGAAATAATGTACATCTCTCTTCCTCTTTTCTCTCGCTTGAGATGTGATCAAAGAATATAGGTTGTGTTCTTATGATATAGTTAATCAGTTCCTTTCTCTCTCTCTCTTGTTTTTTTTTTTTTTTATTTCTTTCCATTTTTTTCTTCTTCTTCTTTTTCTTTTCTTCTTCTTATTTTGTTCCCTTGAAATAGATCATCTATATCTGCAATGTTGTCTCTAGTATGAACCTCACTGTCTTTTGTAATTTACTCAGCGACCTCTAAAGTTTGACTTGCACTGATGTTTCTCTTGGCCAAAAGTTTTGCCTTGATTTGTTGTATTTGGGACAGTCTTGAAGAATATGATCTGTTGTCTCAGGTGCTAATCCTCATGTGCAGATGGCTCTTCTTCTCCTCGGTGATCTAATACACTCATTATGTAAGAGGTCCTTTGCAAAACATCACTCTCCTCACAATCTATATGATAGAAACTCGGTCTCTCAACGGCTCTCCAGAGTCATGCATTTTCATATTCAAGGATTCCCTTATATCCTATGCCTATCTTCCTGTTAGTCCACCCCTGCCACTCCTTCCTGGTACCATTATTTTCTGCTATTATTTTTTAAAATCCGCTCTGCCATTTGATATGACCAAAATATTTCACCTTCTGTGATATTTTCAATTTGCATATCATTTATTTGCTATTTTTGGGTGACTGCCAGTTTTGTCTGTGTTGAAATTGTTCCCATGTGGGATGCACATTTTTGTTATTCAAAGCCCCCCCCCCCCCCTCCCACCTCCTCGTCCGGCCTTTGCAGGGAGCCCTAAATATAGCTGGGCCATAATAATGGCATTACAGCTAAAAGGAGTTTCTAGGACTTCTCCACGGGTGAACCTCATCCACATGTTGGCACTTTGTGTCACTATGTGTTTATTGCTTGTGTGATGTCCTGGTGGGGAACAACTACCTACCTACCTCTTGTCTGTGGGCATTATTTTCATTTTCTTTCAATTCAAGAATAGGTTTTGATCTTCACTGTGAATTTAGACAGTCATGAATACATTTTCTATTCCCTCTGTATTGTTCGAAAGGAGGACTTTGTCATCTGCATAGCAAAGTTCTGGAATAGGGTTGCCACCAGTTATGAGTGGTTCATAACATCATAAGTCTGGTCAGTCTGGTCATTTTTGATATTTCTCATTATGTTTTCTGCATATATTTTAAATATGTATGATGAGAGAATGCACCCCTGCCTCACTCCTTTTTGCACCTTGAACCAATCCGATGTTTCACCAGCTGCTCTGACAGCTGCTTGTTTTTCATGATATACAATTTAAAAAACAATGCACCAAATGCGCTGGAAAGCTCATAAAGGTTAGTTGCATATCCTTTACAGGACGTTGCAGAACCAACCCCATCAGCCCCTGGCTGTTGCGTAGTTTTTCTAGGTAAATTTACATTCAGTAGTTAGCCATTGCTCTCTGGGCGGTCGGCTTTCTTGATACCACTGTCGAAACCAATGCAAGGCAAGGCGCATTACCCGCAGCTGGGATCCAACCCGGCATCCCGGCATTACGAAGCGTTCACATGGACTTAGCCACAGAGCCGACGGAAAGCTCATACTTCTCACAATACTCCACAATTACTGATGTTGGACACAATCAAATGCCTTGCTATAATTGATGAAACAAGCATGCAAATCAACTCTGTGTATTTTCTATACGTTTCAAAAATTATTCTCACATTAAAGATGTGATCCCTAGTTTCTATACCCTGTCTGAAACCCACTTGTGCTTCATGTAGCTAATATTGTAGTTTTATTTCAGTCCTCTTCATAATAATTCGTAAGAGAATTTTGCTAGCGTGACTTAATAAAGCGAGGGTACGGTAGTTGGAGCCTAGTTTTAGATTTCCTTTCTTTGGGAGATGAATACAGATTGTACTTTTCTATGCTTTAGGCCAAAAGGCGCTGTTTGGATATTTGTGCACAGTGCATAGTAGATTCCAACGCGGACCTCTCCTCCTGCCTTAATTAATTCTGCTGGTATTTTGTCGCAACCTGGTGACTTTCCTTTCTTCAGGCTGTGTATTGCTGATCGCACCTCATCCAGTAAAGGCTCTGGTTCTTTGTAGTCTCTTTCATAAGTGGTTTCTGAATTACTTGTCAGATCCCCATTAATTTCTCTACAGTATTCTTTTAATCCTTCTAATATGCCTTTGGTTTCTTTGAATGTGTTTCTGTTTATAATCATTTATTACATAAAATAATGCCCTGAATTAACCTTTTAATGTTTTAATTTCTTTAGTCAGATATCTTCTAATAAAGCATGATGATAAACTAGACATGGGTACCTTTGTATGCGCCTCTAACTCCTAACTGGGGGTTATGGTTGAGTGTGGCAAAGTAAGTTTCATCTGGAATTGATACGTTGTTCTTAGCCCATTCCAGAAGAGCTTCGGCTGTTTTATTAAATAGTATGTAGCCAACAAAATCTCTGCAATAAATAAAACAAATAATATAATCTATTGAAATCAAACAGTAAATATGTTTTTAAATTTAGTTGAATGTCCCCTTCGAGAATTCACAAATCATGATAAGCATGCATCTTTGGTGGAATGGTTTCAGATTACTGATCTTTTCTAATGACCAGTGTGTTTTCAACAACAACAACAAAGACACAAAAAATGTAAACAGCTATAGGACAACACAGACCAACTACAGGATAGTTGCTTTAACTCTTTCAGTCCCAGATCATGGCTTATGCCCAAATGAGGCAATAATGACAGTAGCCAAATCATTAACAGGCAGACTGTATCCACAGGAGCTGAATACACAACCTTTAAAGCCGTCTTGTGTGTTGTTGGGTGTTTTAACGTGATCTGTGTTAACATAAAATGTACAAGCATAATAATATTTTGCCTGGTGCTCATTAGTCAATCTAGTCACACATAGTGAGTTGGTGGGGAATGAAACAGGTGAATATCACATGAAAGTCAACACTGGAAAAAACACAGATACACACACAGAAGAGAACTTCAAACCATCGATATAAAGACACAAGACTTAGGTTAGAAACAGATGCAAGACTAAATATTTGTGGAGACTCTTTACTACAGTGTTAAACTAGCGAGTGAGTGAGAGAGAGAGAGAGAAGGGGGAGAGAGAGAGAGAGAGAGAGAGAGAGAGAGAGAGAGAGAGAGAGAGAGAAAGTTTATGTTTATTCAACGGATCAATATCATGGCACACGGGTGTAACCCATAAGTGTTCCCTTCTTCTTCTAACTCAAACATGAGTCTAAAGAATCTCAGGGCAGTTCACGAACTCTGTTGCATCGGCGACGATCCTGAAATACTTTATGTAGATTTTTAACTCAAAATTTTGCCCGGGCAGCGCCGTTAGGCTACTCTTTTCGGTTTCCAACCGTCAAATGATTTTTACGTGCGCAGCTGTACACAGGGGCGTCTGTCCGGTCTTACTACCCAGAGACAAGGGGAAATTACAAGAAATTCACTGGGAAAAAAAAATCGCCATGCCTCGAGACCTACAGCCCCCACGAGAAAGAGAGAGAGACACACACACACACACAGAGAGAGAGAGAGAGAGAGAGAGAGAGAGAGAAAAAAGAAGAAGAAGAAGAAGAAGAAGAAGAAGAAGAAGAAGAAGAAGAAGAAGAAGAAGAAAAAGAAGCCAACAACACCAGGCGTGTGCGTACACCAATCAATCCTTAAACACCCGGCTTTCCCCGCATTATCTACAGACACATAACCCATCCAAAGACAGATGTTACAACCCACACATACACACAGGCTAGCATATATACTTAGCGGAGGTGCTTGGTAGGTAAGTGCTTTGCCGGAGAAAGAAATCATCACGTTCAACTAGCATCACCGCAAGAGGGGGGGGGGTGCTTTAGGTTATAATTGTGACTAGATTAAGTGCGCCTTATAAAATGGCACAGCATTGCACGCCACCAAGAGACATGAAAAGAACTCCTGCAGTGTTGATGCGATCAATGGAGACAGACCGCAAATACAACATGACCGGCGACGAAGTCGTCTATCGAGAGACCACTGGGTGACCCGGACACCGATGAATGACAGGAGAGTCTCTCTCTCTCTCTCTCTCTCTATGTCTCCCCCCTCTCTCTCTCTCCACACACACACACACACACACACACACACACATTTTCTTTATCAGCACTGCGAGTCACTGAAGCACATGTCTGCAGATATCACCCGCTCCCATTCATCTCTGTGATTTGTCATCTTTTGCCAGTTGGAGACACAAGTGGAGTCACTCCAGCAAGTGTATGAGTGGAGTAGGCAGATTCAAAACGGCGTCAATTCTATGGCAGACTAATCAAGAGGGGATCAGGAGACAGCAGTTGAAGGCTTCGTATTGGAAACTTTTTGGACCGATAGGCATACATCACCATAGCGGACTTTAATTCGCCGATGAATATCTTTAGGTTTAATACTTTCATTAGTCGCTGTGGAAGATCGGAAGGTTGTGGGTTAGCTCCCAGGCGGAGCTGGACTTTTTTTCAAAAATGACCTTGGCTCCCAGGTCGACCCAGCCTTGATTGGGTACCAGGTTCAGTCCCGGGAAGTAAAGGCGACCGGCGTGATGCTGACCATATCACACATCTTGTGCCGATTGGACTATAAAATATAGGTCTAACCCTATATAAAGGTGGGAACAAGGGTCTTTTACTTTTTCTAACTTCACTTTCATCCTTTCGGTGCTGCTGCTCTTTGATACATGTTAAAAGTGTGGCAGCCATCTTTGAATTGTCATTATGATGTCACTGTGTTTATCTGCACTGTGATATCACGTGCTTAACACTCTTGAGAAAATTAACAAAAATAATGTCAGGTACACGATAATGTCATGGTTACTCTATTTTCTATCACATTTTCAATGTTTGTACTTGAAGCCCCTCGTAGTGTAACGGTAATGTTAGTTTCAGCTTCATGGCAAACAGGGTCACCACATAGCTACGCACACCTGGGCCAACGAAAAACACACACAGAATGTTTATCACAGTTCTTTGTGGAAAGACTGTCAGACTGCTATCTCAGCATATCCACACGCATAGTGTATCGTAGTGTATCACTGCTAGACAAAGCACACAGGCGCGTGAATAAGCAGATAGGCGGGCAGATAAATGGACATGCAGATAAAAGCACAGTTAGAGAGGCGAGCTTACAGATGGTCAGACTGGCTTGCAGACTGGAAGACAGATATACATACAGGTAAGCAGGCAGGTAGGCAGGCAGACAGACATGTTGTCGCTGGGCTCAGTCAGACCTGTTGACTGTAATATGTACCGATCCCTTGATTGGTGTGATCCCTAAAGGTGGAGCAGTCCGAAATCTTTCTTTGTTAGCTCTGAAACAGATAATACAAACATGTCGAATGTAGTATATAAGGGAGTTTACATGCATCATTTTCCTAGGATCAAAAGCTACAAAAAGAAATACTAGTGTTACGGCGGATCTATGATTTTAAAAACATCGACAGATCAAGGGATGCAAGTTAGCCGGGAAGGGTGGGGAAAAGAAAAAAAAAGGGGGGGGGGAGGGGGTTAAGGTGGTTAACTATGGTGATGGAAATAGAAAGTAACACAAATATAATGGTACATATTAGCGTGATTAGGAGTTGTTAGGGTCTGGAGATTCATTTATTTGTACGGATCGGTTCATATGGGTCGTATATATCTTTTCTCATTGGTGGAGATAGAGGTAGAGTAATGAAAATAATAATAGACGCTCCTATGGTTATGGCGTGCAGTTTTAGTAGTCGTGTTTATCCATAACCTTCTGGCTCATGTTCTTTCCACACACACAAATCTTAAACAGAATATCTTTCATCCTATGTGCCCAGACTGTCCAGCACCTTCTCTCTTGGTCTCCCTCTGCATCTTTTTCCCTCCAGCTTTTTCATTATGACGAGCTACTCCCTTATTCTCATTCTCGTAACATGACTAAAGAACTTTATGGTGAATTAAAGACGTGTAGAAAAACCAGCCTCTACTACGATATGAAGACGTGCTCAAGCGGGACATGAATGAAACAGGTATTGCTGTAGACTCATGGGAAAAAAATGCCATGCACCGTGTTGTATGGAGGGGGCGTATCAGGAAGAGAAGGAGAATAAAGAAAGAAATGACTGCAGGAAGGATGAGAGCTGAGCGTCTGAGAAAAAAAAAAGAAAACAGTATTCCATGAGATGGACCAATGTCATTCCCACGACCCAACCCGGGTTACGCCTTTTTGGCCAACCCCTCCCTCCCTCTTTAGACACTCAGTGTACGCTGTTTGTGGGCGTCTACTCCGTCTATTTCCTAGTTTTAGTGAACCCGTTTTTTGCTCCCCGTCCGTGTGTTGCTGATAAATACGCCAGTACCTGTCCTTGACATCCTTTTGAAAGAAGTTTTTCGCCAGGAACACAGATGAGTATCATTTATTGTGTACATTAGTCCCATGTAATCACTTCATAGTTAGAGCATTTTTGTGTATGTGTACTGTATTGTTCTTTATGTGCTGATGAAGGCTAATCGCCGCAACGTCCTTTGTTCGTTTATTGTGATCGATTTTGTAAAGCTAACATAAACTGTTTGTTGTTTCTTACCAACTTATTTTATTCCCTATAATTTTCTACTCCTTTTAAAAACTATACTTGTGGAAGACTTTTCTTAACGCAGGCGGGTCTTGCTAGTCACACTCATAGGCTGTGAGTCAGTCCCCTGCCTTTTTATGGCACACTATAACACTATCGTCTGGAAAGACGGAAAGGTGCCACTTAATCAACTAAACTCTTGTCGCCTACTGCTGTGGGCTGTCAGTTCTCTTCGTGAGTCACTTCAAGACATCTTTACTACTCTTTTTATCTCTTTTCAAATGCCTAGCTACCTAGCGTAGTTGGCTTAACCTGACTTAGCTGCGACCAGGTGCTGAACTCATTGTGGTCCGGGTTCACGCCCGGGGGTAGGCAGAAAAGCCACATTTCTCCCATATATACGGTATTTATCATGGAATCAAGGCTGAAGGGTTGCGATATCCATAAGTGTTTAACGATTCATGCCAAATAAAAAAAAAAACTATATATATATATTATATGGTTTCTGAATATATATAAAAAAAAAAAATATTTTTTCAAACTCACATCTTCGCCGCTTCCACATAACTGTTCACTAAACGGCTAACTTCTCATGACTCACTTTCATATTTCAGGATAAGATTTTTATAGCTCTTTAGAATTCTCTTTCTCGCCTCAACTGACAAACAAATACTGCGTAGAATGTTCTTTATATTGAAATAATTTGCCTTTGCTTGCGCTATTCTACATTTGACTTCTCCAATATATTTTCCATCTGCAGCTGTCAGGGTACACAAGTACTAAAACATATCACATTGATTCTCAACCTTCCTAATGTCTCGACCCTAATTATTAACTACAGTGAATATGTGTTTTCCGATGGTCTTTAGCGACCCCTGTGACCCACAGGTTGAGAACAGCTGTCGTATCAGCTTGTTTCAGGATTGTACTATTTACTTTGGTGTTATCTTTTGGAAGGTCAATTTTTTCTTGCTTACTATTACTTCTGTTTTCTGTTGTTCATATTAATACTTTATGTTACAGTTTTGTCTGTAATTTCGTGCAGATGTGTGTATGTCCAAGAATACCTTGGACAGCCAAAAAGAGCAACCAAGAGGTTTTGAAAAAGGCGGGAGCTCGAAGACAACTCATCACAGACATCAGAAGGAGACAGTCATCATTTTTCGGCCATGTTATGAGAAGAGGGAAAATAGAACATGTTGTGATCACTGGAAATATCTGTGGAAGGAGGGATAGAGGTAGACAACGAGAGAAGATTCTTGACAGTCTTGTTGCATGGCATGGAGGTGTGTCGGCACTCGAACTGATACATGCTGCAGAAGATCGCAGATTATGGAGAGGCATGATCGCCCACGCCAGTCGGCAAGGCACCTGATTATGATGATGATGGTGTTTCTTTTTTTTTCAGCGATCAAAACTATATCGTCCGCATATCGCAGGCTGTTTACAACACGCCCACAAAATGAAATTCCTGGCATACAATGTATGAATCTCATTCTTATTTCACTGTAGAAATTAAACAAATCGGGCGATAGTTCACATTCTTATCTTGAGCTTTGCTGAATCCTTTGAAAAATTCCCACTGGAAGGTCAACTTTTATGACCGCATCCTGCTGCTAGTATATTATTTGTATTATTCTTGATCTTTTTTCAAAGTTCCCAAAATTATATTAATTTCTCCATGTCTCACTGTATCAAATGCATTTTTGTAATCTTCTTGTTTTTCTTTTGCCATGTTACACCAACAGCACATAGACCCACAAACAATTCACTTGTTAATTCTACATTTTTGCATTTCCTCTAGGTTTTTAACTTTATTCTCTAGCCTCCCTTTTCAGTCTGTTTTCAGCCTGCCTTTGTTTCTACACCACTGTGGGTTCTAGTGCGTAGACATTCTAGTTAATTTTTTTTTTCAGGGTTTTTCAGCGTGCGTCCAATCCAACGCCACCATCTTTTCTTTACTTTTTGATTGACTCAATTTTGTTTAGTTCTCTCACAACACTCAACATTAGTTATTCTATTATACCATTTGGTCCGCTCCACTCTGCACAATCATGAGTCAATGAATGTTTGTAGTTTATCAGTGACTGTTTTAGCTGTTCTCAATGTTCCCACTCCAAACAGAAGTAGTGATTTCACATTATAATTAACACTGTTACGCTTAGTATTAGTTTCAGTTTCTTTTTGTGTCCACAAATTTCATAGAGCTATGAAACTCCACATGCCTTTTATATTCGTATTATTTTAACATCCTCTCAAATTTTCCAATCTGTATCTACATTATTGCCTAAATAGTGCACGGCTCCATATCTTAGAGTCGGATATAACTGAGAAAAAATTAGAATAATGAGAGAAATAGATTCATGTTTGCCTTACTTTTTTTTTCTCTCATTATCTGTGTCTTTCACTTATGGATTTTTAGATTTAGAAACGTCATGCGCCTCCGGAAGACTCAACAAACTTCACAGAAGAGTAGTGAGCAATTAGTTATTCAGCCCAAGGAAAGAAAAATTAATAACAGCAAAAGTGTTTTCCTTTGTGATTGCATATCAGTCCTCCAGGCGACTCAGAGGCATCCAGGAGACATGGAGAGAGAACTGACCAGCCAGCTAAACAGACTTGAAGAAAACAATCAAATCGTTCTCCAGTGGATCCCCGTTCATTGCGGCATACCATGAAATAAGTTAGCAGACGGACTTGCAAAAATGGAACAAAGGAGAAACAACACACCCATTCATTGTCACTTCCAGAAATCGGAACACTTATCAAGGGAAAACACAAGGAACTGTGGAGAGAACAAACTATCAGTGAACGTCAACAAGACCCCATTAACAAACTCAACAGAAAGCAACATACAACAATTTTGCGTCTACGAACAGGACACTGCAGGCTTAACTACCACATGCATAAAATAAAGACTGTATAGTCCCCGCAGTGTGCTGGTCAAACAGGATCAAAAACACCTGAGCACATTCGGCAGACCTGCCCACTCTACCTACAACTTCGAAAAAACACCTGGCCTCAAGAGCAAAGTGTGCAGAGCAATCTATGGGGAACCATGAAGAATCTGCTGCTAACATGCGAGTTCATAGAGGCAACCCACCTGATGGTCTGATCTGAGCATATGAAACCGAACGCAAAGAAGAAGAAGACGTAATTGTTGTGATCTCTCCTGATGAATGTTTAATGTATCTTGTATCTGATTCCGTGAGTGGGATAAAAGAGAAATATCACCAGCGAACTCCAGGTCAACAAGATGTTTTTAGGGGTTTACTGAAAGCCATTCCTGTCGGTAGCTGTTGCTGATACACTTGTCTTGAATTTTGTGTATCAGCCATGTACACCTGTGGAAATGTGCCCCAGACAGCTGAGCATGTACTCCAGGACTGCACTGAATTTGACACACTGAGGCAAACCTTTTGGCCAGAAAGAACAACAGTGGAACGTAAACTCTATGGACCACTGAATGAACTAACGACGACAGTAAAATTTATACAAGAGACAAAACTGCTGATATAGACAACTTATTTCAGGCAAACGAAAAAAGAGCAATAAGGTGGCTGTTGCTGTCTTTAATCAAGTCTAATGTCAGTACAAATAGAAGAGACGGCAAAAATCAGCACTGTCATACACACATGTTCTTTTCTCTTAAGTATAGGTTTTTATTTTTTCGGTAGATCCTGGGCATTTTCTTTCTGTATAAGTTGCCTTCACAAGTTTCATAGTTTTAACTATGTTTAAAAAAAAAAAAAATAAGTTTAACAATTTAATTGATAGGGCCTACATCATTATTTGTTGTTTACACTAAATTTATATAAAATTAAAAAATCTCTAGTCGTAGAGGAAAGTGGAGATAAAAGGATGGTGATGATCATTATGACGTGATAAGGGGGAAGAAGAAGAAGAAGTAAAAGCGGAAGAAGAAAATGTAAGGAAGAAGTAGAAAACGAAGAAGAAAAATAAGAAGGAGAATCAGAAGAAGAAGGAAAAGGAGGAGGAGAAGGAGGAGGAGGAAAAGGCGAAGAAAAAGAAGAAGAAGAAGAAGAAGAAGAAGAAGAAGAAGAAGAAGAAGAAGAAGAAGAAGAAGAAGAAGAAGAAGAAGAAGAAGAAGAAGAAGAAGAAGAAGAAGAAAGAGGAGGAGAAGACGAAGGAAAATAAGGAGGAGATGGAGGAGGAACAGAAGAAGAAAAATAAGAAAAAGAAGCAGATAAACACCACTAGTAACGAAAAATTTATACTTCCGTACACAAACTTACCTTTTAATCGTTCCCTCAATGTCATTTGCTCCGTCATAAACAGTGAGAATCTTCACCAGCTCAAAGTTGGTCTTCAATGGAAACTCTTGGCCTGTCAGGGTGAAGAAATACTTCCACTTGGGGTATCTCCACAGCTCTTTCATACACTCAAGCTCCGGCTCCAACACACTAAACCAGCCCCACTGAACATCTATCCTTCTAGATGCGATGAACACATTAGGAAAACATTTAGCAATGGAAGCCACGGACTGGTAGAAGGAATCCGGCGACTTTTTGTCTACATGAATACAATAATAGTTTTGGGGGCGATAAATGGCCTTTAGAAGTCTTTCGACCATCTCAACGTCCTTGAATGTGAGTATTGAGAACGCCAGAGGAAAGTCTTCCTCCTCCTTGGTTAGAGGCGAAAGGATATATCCGCGCGAAGTCACAAAAGCCCTACAATCAGCAGTTAAAGACAGGTATGCTAAATCACTTATAGGAGATGTTATATTTTTAGTTTTATTTCTAGCGTATTCTATGTCTCTTTGTGAGTCCTTAAACAGGGCATGACAATTAACACTGGGTACTTTATGCATGCTGGCTATACGCTTCAGGGTTTCTGTCAGATTTTCTGGGGCAACGTATGTATAGTTGGGGGCAACGTATGTATAGTTGGGGGCAACGTATGTAAATTTGGGGGCCGTGTTAACTGCGATAGACACACGCTCGTCATAAGCGTCTTTAGGAATCAGATACTTGCTCCTGTCAAAGTTGGTGACCTTTTCAGACATGACGGAAACGAGGTCGACCTTCAGAAAGTAGTAGCATAGAAAGACACTGGTCACGGCAACGACGATGAGTGTTGCCAGGCAACGGGGTCGGGTGCATTTGGGGTCCCCCATCTTTGGCTGGGATTAGGTGCCAGGGATCGTTCTATCTGTGGAAGATAAAACAATTTGGGTGTTATCAGATTTCATTCTTACTTTCTTTCTTTTTTCCTTTCTGTCTTTCTTTCATTCAGTGCAAGATAAAGCAGAGTAGCTTTTGATAGCTATGTTTGTTTGTTTGTTTCTTTCTTTCTTCATCTGCAAGATTATACTGTTTGAGTAATATCTGGATTCCTTCTGTTTCCTTTCGTCTCTATTTCTGGGTAAGAAATACAAACTATTATCTAAAACCTTTTTTGTATGTTTCGTCCCCCCGTCCCCGCTTTTTAAAATAAAATAAAATTGGAAGACATAACAGTTAGAGAAGTCAAAACAACTATTTTCAGTTAGGAATGTTCCCCGTGTGGGTTCCGGGGCACCATCGTGGGGAAAACAAGAATAGACCCACTGCCTACCCAAAAGCATGTCGTAAGAGTCGACTAATTGGGGAGCTTCCTTTGAAGTCGGAGTGCATCTGCCTGAGGCAAGGAACCAGCAGTCTGCATTCAAATGAATCAGATCTGTAAAACTGATGCACACGCAACACTCAGGTTCTGGAGCAGGACTGTAGTTCAGAAGTGAATGAACAACCAGAACTTTCCACCAGAGTGTACGCTGGTGAACGCGAAGAAAAAGAAGTCTTGTCTTGTCTTGTCCACAATTGCCTCACAGCGTAGTGGGGAGTCGCAGTTTTCTATCCTGGGCCAGGTGTGTTGCACGTGTTGTTGTTAGTCCGTGTTGCCTCAGGATCTCTGATATATTGTCTATCCATCGTACTCTCGGTCTGCCTCTTGCTCTAGAGGCAGAAAAAGAAGTTGGGAATGTAAATAATAAGACACAATTTTGTTTCTGGCACACATTATTGTTTCTCGTGAAACCTCCTCCCCCATACATTCAACCTAACCCCAGAACATGTTTAGGAGAGGTAGGCGGTATTGCAATTCCTAAATACAAGTTCTATTTATTTTTCAACGATTTGTTTTTACATTTTGTATTATTTCAAATACACTGATGTGTATGCGTTCGCTTTGGTATATATATATATATATATATATATATATATATATATATATATATATATATATATATATATATATATATATATATATATTTATATATACAACTTGGTATACGTCCTTTTAGGATGCACGAAATGTTGCTTGTTATGCGACCTTAGTTTGGATTGCAAACTTGTCTGAGTCTTAATTGTCCCAACACCGCGCGCTAACTTTCTTTACCACTCTCGAGACAAAACTATGAACATATCGATGACATGAACAAAAAAGTATCACTTAATCATCATTGATATCCCCCTTGTGGGATGCAGGTTTTCGTTATTTTGAAGCCCCACCCTGGCTGTTGCCGGGGGTCGTAATATAGCCTTACGGTTGATAGCGGTTTACGGGTGATCCACGGGTGATCATCATCTGCATAGTGGCATTTTGTGTCACCGGGTGTTTATCGCTCTGTGTGATGTTCTGGAAGGGTAAATGGTAAGGGTAAAATTTACTTACTTACTTAGTAAAGTATCACCCCAACAAAGTTCACAGAAGCCGCAAAAGCATTCTCTGGAGTGTCACATTTTCGAAAAATTCTGAGAAGGCAAGTTTAAAAAAATAAAAGTAGGAAAATAATAGGGAAGGGAAGGGAAAGTCAGAAGCAAGTTCTGTGTTAGATTCTTAAGTTTTACTAGAAGGGGATCAACTGTTTGCTGACAACAAAGACGCAATCTGGCCTGTTGCAACTACAAAGAAGACAAAACTGTGTAGTGTGGTGCAAAAGAAGATCTGGACTGCACGAGAGCTTTCATAAAGACTACAGACCTCCTGATATAAGTTTTCTAAAAGAAGGATCGAAAAAGAAGACAACGGAAACCACCAAAGGCCATCCGACGCTCTGAAGCAGATAGTTGAGGGCAGTGCACCAAAGGGAGCAGCACTCGGGGATTCCAGACTCTCTTACGCCACCCTGCCTCCACACCAAGTGTATCTAAACAATGCTTTTCAGTCGTATTTCAGACCAGGGGACCTCAACCCACCAGAAGTACAAGCGTCGGGAGCCCGTCTCTCTCAAGCTATCGGTCACTATAACTTTTTCGACCTCACTATCATATCTCTTGGCACATTCGAGCAACTAGTTCTCTCTCTCTCCCAGTCTATCTAAACCCCACTACTTCTCCGCCCTCTGTGGGGGATTAAAAAAAAAAAACGGGCTGATCACAACAGCAGATTGTGACTGGCTTGGTTGTTCTAAAAAAGGAACAGTGCACGGAGACGTGGTTCCTGGTGCTTGGCTTTTTTCCTGCGGCCTCACAGAGCGGTAATAACCTGGCAATAGAGCACCAGTGCAGCGACCAGAACAGGTTAAAACCAAGCACCATCAACGATTAGCTAAAACCCAGAGAGATAGAAGTTAAAGAGCACCAGACCAGACCAGGATCAGGAACCCTAACACCACACCGGACTTATCGCTTAGGAAGACAGAGATCAGGAATATCAGATGTGACTTCACACAACAAAGAACAGGACACCCAATAAGATAGCAAAGGAATTTCCTTCATAAAGCAGGCCTTCAGACGGCTGAAAAAAGGATCAAGTTTGTAATCTTTTTTTTTAATCAAATCGGAATCGAAGAAGAAGCAGAAGAAGAAGAAGAAGAAGAAGAAGAAGAAGAAGAAGAAGAAGAAGAAGAAGAAGAAGAAGAAGAAGAAGAAGAAGAAGAAGAAGAAGAAGAAGAAGAAGAAGAAGAAGAAGAAGAAGAAGAAGAAGAAGAAGAAGAAGAAGAAGAAGAAGAAGAAGAAGAAGAAGAAAAAGAAGAAGAAGACTGGAAGGGAACTCTCCTTCCAGACAATAAAATCTCATCCTCGACCTTTCTCAGTACCATCCTTGTAGACAGTCAACTCTGCTATGGAAGGCAGAGCAAGGTTAAATTGTCATTCATTTCATCTAACTGCTTTTGTATTGATGTATTTTAGTGTTAGGCATTAGGGGATTGCGTGGTTTCGAGGATTGGCGTCCGCCTTGAGCGCGAAACGTCCCGGGTTCAGACTAGGGTTTTTATATGTGGATATCTAGTTATTTTCTCTGGTAGTAAGATCGAACGCCCGTGTGCATTGTGCACGTAAAAAAATCCCTTGGCAGTAGGAAATCAAAAAAGGAGTAGCCTAGTAGCTGCCCAGGTAAAATTGTGAGTTAAAAATCTACCCAAAGTATTTCAGGATCCTCGCCGGTGCTACAGAAGTTTGTACATCGCGTTGAGATACTTCAGGCTCAGGTTTGATTCAGAAGTAGAAGGAGCACTTATAGGTTACCCCTTGTGCCATAATGTTTATCTATTGTCTAAACCTAAAGTGCTAGGCAGTAAAGAAACTTATACAGCCGTGTCAATGCATAATATAGCAATAAGAATTGAATTTTTTTGTCGTAAGTAAATAATTCTCCTTTTATTTGCCATTCGGTGTACGGATCAGGGACACATACCGCAGTACCACTGTATCATAATCATTAACATAAACCACTTCTGCCGTCAAGCAGTGTGGGAAGAACCAATTTGCGATCCAAGTAGCTACCGAATACCGACACGCCATGAAGGCGTAGAATGTCTTTAATGTTGGTGATCCATGTTTTTACAGCCGTCCTTGCTCTTGTAGCTGATCTTCTGCGATGTAGTGCCTGTGCTAGTATCTGTTCTTGCTCCATCCCAACGAGGTGGCCAAACCATTTGATCTGTTTTTTTTTTTATTATTAAAAATTCTTATAATTTGGCTCTTTATTATTATGTGACAATTTTCATCATCATCATCATTATCAGCATCACCACTATCATTACTATTTTTATTATTGTTACTAAAAGGCACTCAAACACTTGTAATGTCCTTTGAGCTCCAGCCTTTAGCCCGGATAGTTTTGGCTTTACCTCATTCAACCTGATAAATCATTCCTTTAAAATTACAAATTCAAGGTTTTAAACATTTCAAATAATATTTCACTAGTCCCATTGTGGGTTCAGGGACCCTTTGGGGCAGGGAAAAGACGGACTCACTGTTCCTTCAAGCTTATCATAAAGGGCCACTAATCAAGGATGTGCTGAAAACGGATACATTTGACAGAAAGGCGCAAGATATCGCAGTGTAGCTGTAAACTAAAACATGTGAACACTTGAAAGAAAAAAGCAGAAGAAGCAGAAGCAGAAGCAGAAGAAGAAGAAGAAGAAGAAGAAGAAGAAGAAGAAGAAGAAGAAGAAGAAAGAAGAAGAAGAGAAGAAGAAGAAGAAGAAGAAGAAGAAGAAGAAGAGAAGAAGAAGAAGAAGGAGAAGAAGAAGAAGAGAAGAAGAAGAAGAAGAAGAAGAAGAAGAAGAAGAAGAAGAAGAAGAAGAAGAAGAAGAAGAAGAAGAAGAAGAAGAAGAAGAAGAAGAAGAAGAAGAAGTAGAAGAAGAAGAAGAAGAAGAAGAAGAAGAAGAAGAAGAAGAAGAAGAAGAAGAAGAAGAAGAAGAAGAAGAAGAAGAAGAAGAAGAAGAGGAAGAAGAAGAAAAAGAAGAGGGATTTGGAGGATGACAAAGGGGTATTAAATCCTACAATCTCTTATAATTGAGAGGTTAACATTAGCCTACAGTTACAGCGATTTCTCGGAATTCGGACACTTGAAATTTTTTTTTTTATCCGAACGAAATTGTCAAGTAAATCAAAACCATCTTCATCAGATGGGCATAATCTTGAGTAAATGTTGCCTCGTGTATTGAAAGCCACCTTGGAATTTATATATGTACACACAGACAGTAAGACCTCATAAGGAAAACTCACACTGTATCCCAAAAATTAGTTATTCTTATAAGAAATTCCTCTTATCCGGATCAGAATTCAAGCATATGTTAATGCCCTAAAACATGAGTGTTGAATACGACAGATTTGACACCAACCAGTCCTCACTCACACAGTCTTGCAGGTTACATCATGACCTACTTAAGTTAAAACTTGAGTA